GTCGATGTTTACCAACGTTTCAGAGGTCATACTGCCTCCGTCATCAGGGCGATGGTAAACATCTACCATACTGCACAGCGCAACAACCCAGAAGACAGAAATCTTCATATTCACCGCTGTGAAAACCTTAAATCATACATAACAGGAGATGAATGTACTGGAGGGCTAATGGGAGTATCCCTTTGCCACCATCAGGTGCCATAAAACGAGCAGTAAAAGTATAATTCTAATCCCAAAACGAAACAAACCTCTAACATGCCGAAAGATGGGTACATTTTCTCTTAAAGTACTGTGCAGAAGTGCTATCACACTCGGTTAAAATTTAAACACAAGTTTTAGAATATTTTAATCTGTAAACACATTTCTATATCAACTTGTTTATAGTTATTTGATATTAAATGATCTCATAAAACCATTATTTTTTACTATACCATAACCACAATCTTATTTTTAAACAGCTTGCTTCTCCTGTTAGGGGAATGGGAAATATTTTATCACCACATCTAAATGAAAGAGATCATAAAAAAGGGATGTTACTTCGGGAGATCGTGGGGTGAGGTGAGGTGAGGTGGGGATGGATACAGGTGCTATATTTCCCACATTACATTATCCAAGCTCGAGGCATACAATCCTCACCGTAGCGTTCCAATGGAAGTTTTATTTGAAAATACTGCTGACAGTTGACAAGTGTTCAGGGAAATATTTGGACGTAAGGACGGTGGACATGATGAATGGAGGACATTACAAAACGAGGAACTTTCAGATTGATATAGACCGCGTATTATTGTAAAGGTAAGGCAAAGATGGGGAGAGTGCATATATAGTTGCAAGCATACTTAATCTTGGCACCAGATGGAATTAAGTTACACAATATTGTTACGACAATAATCTGTAGAACATTAAGACGGGTTAACAAATAGTTTGGTTAGAGAGACAAATTTGCCACGGTGGTCTAGCGGTTAGAACGCTGGCCTTGTAATCCTGGGGTCTCGGATTCGATTCCCGGCGGTGCCCGAATTTATAACTTGTGTTGGGCAAGGCTGTGGTCTAGGCAACACGGAGTTTTCCTCCGGGGGCTTCCCCGGTTTCTCCGTGGCATCCCAACAATTACTCCATTCACACACAGAAGAAGGCAATGGCAAACCACTTCTGGATCATCTGCCAAGAACGTATATGAACAGGTCCCAGTCCGAGAAAATGATGGAAGGATCCTGTTCATATAGACCTGTAGTCAGACAGAACACTAAATAATAAATAATAGAGATACAAATATGCATACAGAATATAGGAAGACCAAAAAATCAGATGGGAACACGAATGGCAGAAAATCGGACAGTGAGAAAAGAGATGGATGAACGGAATTGCGATTATGTACAATTCGGGCAGTGAAGTCCCATCTCAGAGATTGGCAGTCAGCCTTATGGGCAAGAGAAACAACGAAGGTGAACTGAATTACAATGCCAATCTTTTCATGTGAATTTCATTATAATGAATACATTAGTGTTTGTAATACTCTTGTCTGACAATGAATAACATGCAGTTCGTCTTTATCGTTCCAAATACGACCTTCAAATAGTGGGATCAATATTAACAGTAATAACACTACTAGTAATAATAAGAGTGTCGCAATAACGTAAAACTGAATTTGTTTAATTTTGCTGTCTAGACATGAGACAGTAAGTAACATTTGTCTCGCATTGATCATATCAGGATTTGAATAATAGAAGCTTGACAGATCTATCCATCATTCATCCTCTCTCCCCGTTTTTTTCGGTACATCTGTCCTTCCACGTGTTCATGCCCTCGTCCAGTAAATCTGCAAGCACTACTTTAACCGTTGGAATCATGCTTTTTTTGTTACTGAGATCACAAAGGTGATTAAGTCCGACAAACGTAATAGAAAACGTATAGTAAATTTAAAAGCCGTGTTTAGGAACACGGTTTCACCACAGTTATCAGCGATGAAACGAGTCGATTGAACACTGTAATGATTCCATTCTGAAACAGTTTCTACGAATTTACTTCGAAACTTAAATGAATATAACACGGAAACCCGAAGAGAAAGGAGAACTTGGAAGGATGTGGGTAATAATTAAATGGATTTAAAAATCGGATTCATCTGGCTTAGGTATAAGTCCGTTGTGGGCTCCTATAAACACAACAATAAACCTTCATTTTCCATATAACTGACAAAAACTTCTAGGCTAATGAAATATGAATATAAAGAAATGCATTGATAAAATTTGTGTACTTCATTGGAGTAAATCTTTCTACCCTTCTTGACATTAAGTCGAAATCCGCAGGTCACAGCCTTCCATACATCTCCAAGACGACTGAACATTTTACACACGCACACAATTTCTAACATGCAGAAGTTGGTATTTTTGGTACTAGCGCCGTGTGGACTTGTAGGTAAATACAAACATCACTCATGATGAAAAGAGTTTGTTCCTCCCAAACGTTGATATATACCTACAAGTCCTCATGGCGCTACAACCGAGAACAACATCGATAACTTCACAGCCTTCAGAACCTTATAATTCATATAATTTCTACGTCATTGTAAAGCATTTATCATTTTGTTACCAAGCTTATGCAGACGATGCGAGAAATTGCGCATCAGAGAAGTATAGGAGGGCTGAGAACAGAAATAAGACATTCATATGAACAAAAGATGAATTTATGATAAAAATAAACTTAACATTCGCTCAACCTTTGACCCTGAGACACACACACACTTTTCACTGCGGACTTTGACGTCTTACTCTCGACACATACCGCAAGACTCAGATTTCATTATCTGTAAATGTTTTCTTCAAAAATATCGAGCTCTTTCAACAATCTTTCTGCATCTTCTGATAAATTTTCTCACTGCCTTATGACCTGATAATATACAAAACACTGCACCAATGAAACGCTGGTTGCATTCACGAATAAAACTAAGCCCCAAATGACCGACTGACAAAAAACTGATAAACAATGCAGTCAAGTGACCGATAACGAGAAAGCTAGCCAGTTTCGTGAGTTTCTGTACTGAAAGAACACTCTACTTACTTGTGAGACCTCGTATACTATGGACACCATCTGGTAGTGATAAATTATTTACCGACGAATAAATAACAAATGTGACCTACTTTCACAGTTACAGACTTCTTGGAAAGAATAAAATGTCTAATAATAAGATTCGAAGCCACGGCCGTCAAAATATATTCTTCAAAGCTTCCAAACAATCAAAGGCAAGTTTTATTCTTTCACTATACAGAGAAAAGTGAGAAGAAAAAGAACAAAAGATTAAAGGTTGACGAATATCATCAGCCTGGACGTTGGAGCAGCGATATTACCGCGGGTCTATCGATCTGAAACCATTTTCGTGACAGCCAGAGACAATCGATACGGCTGGATAATTCAACGACGCTTCTTTCCTTCTCTCCGCGTTCTGTGGGGAGATTGTCGTGAGAGCCTTCCTGACTTGCAGTGGGCTTCGAGATTTCTATCCGCAGAACTCGTATTGCGCATACTACGCACTGGAACCACCAAATGCTTTCTCTTTAGCGATTTTTCTTACCTCGTTAGCAATGATGTTCATTGATTGTAGATACAGATCTAATGTTTCGAACCTAATAACATTATAGACACCATTAAAAAGAGTAATAAGCTATTTATCTTGTAGAAATTGAGGTTTTCACGGCGGTGAGTCTGAAGATTGCTGTCTTCTTGGTTGTAGTATCATGTAGTGTCGCAGATGTCCACCAACGTTTCAGTGGTACATGCTGCCTTCATCGTCAGGGCGATGAGATAATCATTTCATGTGTTTTACATCCAAGAATGCATAAAAATCACTAACCTGAAAAGACAAAAAGTAGGCATAACCAAACTAAAATATTTTACACGTAATTTGAAGTCCGGTTCGCAGATAATTTTACGAAAATCAACACATTTGAAGATGGCTATCTATTGGGTTTTAGAGCCATGTAGTCTAACAGAAGTTCACCGACGGTTTAGTTTGCTTCCTGCACTCATCATGAAGACCTCTGAAACGTCTTTAAATATTTACCACGGCGTAACGACCCAGAAGTCAGTCATCTTCAGAATCACAGCTGCGAGAATTTGAAATCCCACAAAATATATTTGATTTAAGACGTGTATTTAATTAGTTACAATAAGTATAATTCAGAAATACAATTTGCTCATTTGAGTATATACCGACAAGCCTCTACCTACGAGGTTACGTTCTAAAATTCGCGTAGGTCTTGAGGTAAAATGATCAGGAAAATATATCTTACGAAATCGATGTACATTTCTCTGAAAGAGCATATTTCTCGAATTGAATCAAAAACGTCATATTAGTTCCATTAGTTATTACAAAGAAAGCTTTTATACAAATTCATATAAGAGGTTTCTCTCTTAGGTAATCTAATCTAATCTCATCTTACATCCCTCAAAACAAACCGCAGTCTTTCTAATCTACTGGAGCAAGAAGCAAATTATTCATAGAAGGTAAAATATCTACACGGACCCGTTTAAATTCCGCGATGCTGCAGCAGCAGGTAAATTTCGTACCACAGGAGCAGACAATTTATCTTAATGACTCCGTCCAAAGCAGACTGCACGTAAGAGTGGCTTCTGTCACCTCTCACCTCTTAACAAAAATTTTATTAAAGTTGTGTAAGAGTTCCCTGTTCCCAGTCACAGGGCAAACTTCTCGTGTCTGTCCGCGTCTGGAATAACTCACATCCACAACACAGGTCTAGAATACGTTACAGGCAAGCATTCTGTTGTGTTTAAAATACTATAGGTAACTCTCGTTATAAGCGTTTTCGTTTTCCACGTTGTCGCATATACTTTCATATGTTGTTTCAATATCAAATCAGCGGACAAATTTTAAAGCCTATTACCTTCGTTGGTGGGAGGATAATCTCAGGCAGGATCTATGGGAAATAAGAGTTGAAGGAGACTGAATTTTGTTGGCCCAGCAAAGGGTCCGGTGGAGGGCTTTTGTTAATTCGGTGATGAACCTTCGGGTTCCGTAAGCCATCCAGTATGTTAGTTATTACCTGTGTTGAACGTCTTCTAGGCTTATCAGACAAGGTATTTTTGACTAGCTGAGTCATCACTAAATTCTCAAGAATGACTCCTACACGCAGTTAATTACTCGACTTATTTGTGGTGGGTGAAAATTTGACGCAGGTTCTATCGTTATCCATGAACATCAGCTCCTACGTTAGGCCAAAATAAAACTAAACTGATTTAATTTGGTTCTAGCATCTCTTCCGCATATAATGTAATTGGTTTACACCCCCAATACGTGATTCCTTTCCGAAGCCTACAACATTTCAGGACATACAATTTTCTTTTACTTTAAGAGGTTGTTAGACCTGGTCCAAACTATACTCCAGCCTCAAGGAGCACCCTTGTCGACTCTCTCGATTTATCAATCTATATAATTAAGGAAAGACACAATCTGGAAGATGCTGGCGTAGGTGGAATAATATTAAGATGAAAGATACCTTAGAGAAATAGAGACTGCAATGAACTGACTAAAATTAGGGTTCAACGGAGGCTTTTGGTGAAAAAGATAAAAAATCCTTCGGGTTTATTAATGCAATGAAATTCTGACTACGTGTGTGTAAATGTAAAAATTTCTAGGAAGACTGTGTACCATGGAGTTAATTACGTAATTGATCATCAAAACCAATGCGATATGGAAAATAGAAGAATACACATTTCAAAAATATAAAAAAGGCTGAAATGTCGAGTTCAGGTTTCACTCTTTTTGAAGAGAAAGTTTTCACTCTAATGGATCCGTAGACTTCACTGGTAACTATGTGATGAAGCTGACACAGCCGAGAAACGGACATCATAGAAACCACCAACAGATAGCCAGTTACACCTGTGCTACCTTAAGACACGCCGATTTCCAAATGACTGACTGACTGACTGACTGACTGTTGGAAGAACAAATGAATGTCGATACACAGTAGCAGAGATAGAGGCAACGAATATTCCACAAATATTTCATGTTTATATCAATTAAAATTACGTTAAAGATGTATTTTTGCAGCCGAAATGACAACGTTTCTTTTAAAATGTTAAGGAACTCGAAATTACACGTACAAAGCAAAAAATTGTGCAATTGCTTCAATAAATTTACCACCGAGAAAATGGAATTAATTCCACTGCGCTACGTAACTACCTAATTATCTAATTAATGGACTCAGTCGTACAGGGTCTTCGTTATTGAATTCACGGTAGTTCAGATGGAAACATTTTCCTACTATGCTATCCAGATACTCATAATTGCCGTCAAGATCTCCCTCCACTAGACCGTAGTTTGGTCTACTCCAGTTCATATTCTCACTGTACTTTAGATCTAACATTACCCTCCTATCTATTTCCACATTTCCCAAACGGTCCTTTTGACTTGTTTTCATACCAGAAGCATGAGTGAATGAATTTCTGCTTTCTACGAATCTAATTTTTCTTAATTTTATAACGGCAACAAGTTAGCCAACTCCATCCGGAGAAACTAAATAATATGTACAGCTGTTAAATAAATATTAGGTTAAAGACACACAATTTAAGTAAATTTTTTCATTCATGTTAGGTAAAAAATATTCATCTCAGAGCTTCAATTCCACACTTCATTTCCCCCCCCCCCTCCGAGTGAGACAGGAAAACCAACATAAAATTTCCTTTATAAGCCAAAAAAAGCAAAGCGTTACATTTAATCGGACTGCTCTTAAACTTTAATACGGACAGGAACTGTGTTGCAATACATACCAGAAGTCCTACGCGTAATGGAAAATCATGGTAATGTTTTCACAAGAGGAGGAAAATATCATCAGCTCTTTTTAAACAGTAATAGCAGCTAAACAGCTGTTTCTGGAAGAAACCTGCCGTTCTTTTAACAAATGAGAAAAAATTAAGATTATTAACGAAAATAACTATGTTAAAGCGTTTACGTGAGTGAACTGGTTTTTATATTTGAGACATGACATCAAACTTAACAATTTCGGTAATGGAATTTCCTTCAAATAAAATGCAATGACGGTTAACATGATGGTTGAATTAGATAGTCGAATTCTTCGAGGAAAAATCAAAAAAATAAAACTATATCATTAAAACGTATTAATAATTTAATAAGATTATAGACATTGTAAACCATGATTCTGGTATCTGATTTCTTGGACGATATGGCGGTTGCAAATCTACGACTCGAGATTCTAGAATTAAGTCAACTCTGAAGGAAAACAAAGATTAAATTTATGCAAGCGATTGGACATCGTATTTTCTTACTGAAAATCTTATATTCATGAAAACAGATAAGCTGAAACACAGAGAGATGAAATGATATGTTTTAATTATATAATTTGGGCACCTACGCGTGATAAGAAGGATAATATTAAAATTGATCTAATAGAAATAGAGTAATAGTTTCGACTAGATTCATATGGCTCAGAGTACAGTAAAGTGGCGAGCTCTTGCAAATACGGTAATGAGAAGCGAGGAACGTCTTGAAAGGATTGGCGACTATTGCCCTCTGAAGAAAGCCGCTACCATAGAATGAGATATACTTTAAATAACTGACGTAAGTATGTGAGTAGTGACAAATAGCACAGAGTGAGTTTGGAGAGTACATTTCGGATTCTGGTAACCTACAACTTTCCACTCGTTATAAAAATTGTTTGAAAAATTAAAATATTTATTCGTTGCAATTCATTGCAGTTTGATTGGATTAATAAATACAAAATATCGCTGTGACTACACAAGAGCCCAAGTCACGTAATGTCGTAACCTGCTCTCGCCACTTCGTAAGTCGTCTTCAAACAGTCGAAGCGTGAGGCTGTCTTTTGCACAAGTGCATCGAGTGTTCATCGTCGAACACTGCCTGGCATCTCATTCTTACTCCAGTTGCCAGAATGTGTTAAGGATTCGTCTCACGATTCACCTGTGCCAAACAAATCGACTATATCTCGTCTGGCGAACCGTTTCCGGTCGCCGTAGAAACTCCAAACACGAGTAAAAGACTGAATGCAAGCATCGCTAAACGTGGTCCAACACTAATAAAACATCGTTTTATTTTATTTACTGGTCTCAGTATAATTTAGTTTTTGAACAATAAAATGTGCGTCAGTAATGAGTTACGTGATTTTTCAATCAACCTGTATCTAGAAGAGAAAAAAACATTTAAAAAGAAATATATTCCAGTGCTTTTTCCACATAAAATTCCAATCCAATGAAAACAATCTGCGCATATCATGCAGCAGTGGAGACTGCAGTGTTGGCATCACTGGGAAATGTGAATTCTTGTTGGATCACAGAGAGTTCTGTAGCGGAGGAAGCAGATTTCCTGGGGTCCCACCTAATTGGAAATCATATATGATCCCCATAGTCAATAAACGTGCGAAGTTTTCAGAATTTCAATACAAATAACTCTGGACACAAGCAACTGTGATGAGAGGAAGAATATAGAGTGTATTATTCTCTTCTGAACAGAACGAGTCCAACGTTCTCGAGGGGTCCAAAGCTTAATCGTCGCCATGAAAATATGGTTCATAACCTGAACCAGGTCAGTTTCCAGTAAACTTTCCTAAAATTTTCTTTGGACCTACTTTCTGTCTTTTGTAAATAAAATTAGGCGTACAGTGTCATCCTGTCACTGTTATCCTAAGAGGTCTTTAATTAATTTGGCCCTTCGACGCCGAAGTCGTACCTCAAAGAAAACACAACATTTTCGCTCTATAATGATCAGCTAGTTTATTCTGTTTGAGGAAGTAATCCCTGCTTACACTGAGAACCATACGAAACCCATAAATACAAAATGCAGCGTTACTGCTACTTAAA